TTTGGTCTATATAGCTAATTTTGCCCTTCATGACAACTGTGAGGGGGGTGAATTTTTTTATAACTCATCCGTTTAAATTATATTAAGCCTTAAAGTTCTGCATAATTAAGGGCGTGGCCACTTGAGTGACAGGTGGATTGCCGCTGCTGTCACCACCGTCGAGCTAGGTGGGCGTGGTTTCAGCAGCCAGCTCCCGCCTCTTTGCCCATATCTGGGAGTGACGTGCGGTGACGCGCTGCCAAGATGGCGACGGCCACCTCCGCCCACTTTTGAGCTTCAAAAGCGCTCTTAGGAAATCTACGGGTGACATCACGGACACTACGTCCATGTTTTTATACAGACTATGGGCACAACACAACGATCACACATACATCACACATAACTTTACAATAAACAAGAAAAAAAAAACTCTAATTCATTTAGAAATTTCCATGACGTTTCTTAATTCTATTCTTGTTCTTTATGTATTTAGTTAGTTGGTTAGTAACTTACTTATTTCTAGGCCAGAAAATTACACTTCAGATCTCAGATCTGTTTTTCAAATCTAGTTATATTAATAGCTACAAAATTTTGAAACATTTCACATAACTTTTTGATTGTAGAAAAAAACCAACACAAAAACGCAATAATCTTTTTGTGTTTTCTAGTTTTCTACTAAGTATTCTACAACACTGCTGCTAGGATAAAATTTTTCCTCAAGAGATTCTGATGATAATTTGATTTTAATATGGAAATTATTCACATCCATGGGCATGAAAACTATTACAGCTTTCTTCCTTTCAATCCATACTGATTGTTCCTTTCTAACTTTCATTAGCATATCCATCACCTCACTGTTTAAACAAAATTAAAATTCTCACAGTTTAGAATTTAATCTGCTAATGTTTCCACTCATTCTATAGCTTATGCAACTGCCTGTCATAAACCCCAGTAATGTGCACCTGTTTTTCAGCTCGTCTTGTTTGTTTTCACATTATCAGGAAGTTCAAAAGTCCAACATTGCATACAGTAAGCAAACATTGTCAAATGAGTAGAAAGTCCAGTACTAAGTATTTACAATAGTAGATTTACAATCTACAGTAGGCGAACAACATCTGGATGACGTTCAACATCTGCTAAAATTCTGAAGTGCGCAACTTTGGGACACTTTGCTATCCCATAAAGCAACTTGAGCTGAAGCCGTATGATTAGTTAAGGGAAAAAAATCAAGAAGTCAAGAAGTAGGTTCTTCATCGAACTTCAACACACTATGATAGTTCAGCAATTCAGATGTAGCCCAAGGGAGGAAATGTTTTCTATTCTCATAGTAACAGGCCAATCAGGATTGTCAGAATGCATTTTGTTTCTTGCAAGCCATTAAGCAACTGTCTACTTGCTGTTTCAGGATTAAAAGGTACAAAACTATGCGATATAATACAAGACTGACAGCTTGAATGCACTTGCTTGATTGCCAAGTCTGAAATTTCAAGTGGTGTTGCAAACCGAATTCAAATCAAGCCAGGGATTTACTGCATTTCCTTATGCACGTGAAACTGATTGTGCATGTGTGACACATCCAAGCGCTCATCATAACAGCCCCATGGAAGGCCTAGTCTCCAGCTGAGCTCTCACAAACACATCTCCATCCCATGCCAACTCATCGCAAAACAGGCACATAAAACCAAAATCACTTGCATGTTCATGCATGATCACATACTCTCGCACATCGTGTTCGATTGCCACAAAGCAAGCCCGAACTCATCACTGATTACACATCATCTGACCACTAAAGGCGCTCTGATGTGGTCACAATGGTTTTGGATCCACCGGCTTCTCTTCAATTACTGATGCTAGTCTTCAACCTGAACTGTGAGTCAGTAATTTCTCAACTGCAGCAGTTGACCATTTCCACATGCATGGCGTTCATTCAAAAATGGCCATGTGGGATAGAATTGAAATGAAACGTGAACTTCAGACTAAACACTAATCGTTAATCATTATAGCTCTTCGGCGACTCCATGTGGTGACACCTCTCCGCTCCAGTGTGGGCATAAACAATTAAATCCGAGTCTCCTCGAGAGGGAACAGAACTGCCATGCACTCCCAATAAGGAAAAAGAAAATCTGCTGCACTAAACAAAAATCCCACAATAACCCCAATTTCAGATCCAGTTCGTCGTACAGAACCCATGTAATGCCCACGTCTCCAACGAATTTTTTCGAATGGAAAATTATGCTGCCAGTCAAATCATGGGGTAATAATTAGTGTACGATGTTGGGTTGGTTTAAATGTGATGAAACATTATTCAAAAATGCAATTCATACATACATTGTACGCTGTACATTTGAGATGAGCATCCTGCTATCATAATGAAGAAAAAAGCCTCTTTAAAAAAAAAAAAAAGGAAAAAGAAAAAAATATCTTGAAAAGTCATGTGGTGTGATTAACATGCATAAAAACAAAAATGAACCAAAACAAAACCAAACAAAACTAGACCAGACCAAATCAAACAAAACCAAAGGAAAAAAATAATATATATATATATATATATATATATATATATACAAAACAAAAAATTTTACTTGATGGCTATACCAAACGACAGGCATTACATTTACATTTTGGTTGAAAATTGTATGAAAGTTTTTCAAAACCACATTAAACCATTTTCTTTACCATCAACACTTGTGTGTCACTGACCCATTTACTCTGGTAAACAAAGAATAGCATGAGAATAGGGCTGCACGATAAATCGCATGCGATATTTAATGCGCA